CGTGGGCTTTTTAGTTCTCGTGACTTAAAAAAGAGGGGACTGCATTTCTCTTTTGTGGGTTCTCCTACAAAATATTAGAATATAGTATAACATTTTATATACGTTATTCATTCAGGGATCTTGAACCCAGGTTAGGTGAAAAGACCTGGATTTAAAATCTGGCTCTGCTACTAGCTCTGTGACCTACTTTATGGGGTTGCTGTGATGATTAAGTTAAATAGTGTTTGCAAAGTGCGTCATTATCATTGTTGTCCTAGCAGCTAACATTTATTAAGTGTTTTCCAAGTATCCTCTGACCCCTCACAACAACCTATAGGGAGGGTACTAATACTAAGCCCATTTTACGGATGAGAAAACCGAGTTTAAAGAGGTGAAATAACTTGCCCAAGGTCACACAGTGAGGGAGTGGCAGGGCCCACACTCAAATCTAAGTTGTCTGACCGCACAATCCACACCCTTAACCACTCTGCGCCTTCCTAGTGCACATAATAAGCACTCAATAAATGATGGCTCTAATTATAGCAGCTGTTAGCTGCACCAGCATGTATTGTATGTAACCAAAGAGTAGTTTGGAATAAAGGTTGGCAATTGTGCTTCCAGGCTGAGTTATTTTCTTTATACTCAGTCCATTAATTCTGTTGCTGAGGGGCCCTCGTTGACTCGGTGTTTGCTTTCCTCCCACTTCCGGCTCTGTCAGCCTGCTGATCTTATGAGGCAGTAAGTGGCTCCCGGCTGCTGCCTCTTCAAGGCAAGGGGAGAATACCTCTGCTGTCACCTGCGTGTTGCGCTTTGCTGACCAACTCTGAAGTCTGAGCTCAAGCTGTCCACATGGCTCCTCAAGTGCTCCCGTCACTGATTCAGACATTCCCTTTCTTTTCCTGCTCCTCGCAAAGACTGTGCTGAGTTGCAGCACTGATTCGAGATCTCCTTCTCCCCTGAGATAATGGAAAATCTTTATCAACCTGCTGTAGCAGAGTGGTGAAGGAGTAGGCTCTAGAATCACCTGCCTGAACTAGTGAACAAAATATGAGGTCTTGGGAGCAGACATCATCGTGTCTTCCTGGCGCCTGTACTTAGGTTTAGCCAAGTGCTGTGTCACTGGTGTGACTAAGAATCTGGGTTCATTATTCTTCATAATCTTGGCTAATGTTCACTGAGCACTTGCTCCTTACCAGGATCTATGCTAAGCCTTTTGCATGCTTTATATCACTTGATCCCCTAAACCAGCACTGTCCAATAGAACTTTCTGCAGTGATGGAAATGCTCTATATCTGCACTGTCCAATACAGTAGCCTCTAGCCACATGTGGTTACTGAGCATATGAAATGCGGCTAGTGCAATGAGTTTTTAATTTTGTTTAATTTTAATTAATTTAAATTTAAATAGTCACATGTAGCTAGTGGCTTCTGTATTGGACAGCTGAGCTCTAAACTATCTTTTTAACCCATTTTACAGATGAGAAAAAATGAGGGTTAGAGGATTCAGTAATTTGCCAAAGGTGCTTGGGCTCGTGCTTCCTTCCCAGAGCCCTGACTCTTCACCACCGTGTTGTACACTCTTTATATTGTACTTTTTGCAGAGATTGTTTCCTGGTTTCAGACTGTTCCCTAACTCATAATGCGACGTGTATGTATGCAACCCATTTTGAAATAAATGTGTAAGACCTATCTAGAGAAAGCTGTAAAACTTACCAAATGATATAAAAGAAGACCTGCATAAATAGGAAAAAAAAAAAATTCTGTATTCCTGGATGGGAAGACTCAGTATTGCAAAGATACCATTTCTCCCCCCAAATAATCTCTGGATCAGTATAATTCTACTCTGAATTGAAAAGGGAATTGTAAAGAAATTTGATTCTAAAAGAATGTGCTAGAACAGTCAAAATCGTTTCGAAAAAGAATAGTTGGGGGATGAGGTGGACTTGTTCTGCCCATATCAAAATGATGGCTAAAGGGAAAATGATTAAAAGTAGAGGACTGTCACAGGAATAGACAATGGTCCAGTTAAACAAAATAATCTAGAAAGCTGGCATTATACCACAGATCAGTAAGAGGCCATAATACATGTGGAAATGTTCTTATCCATCCAGAAAATAATAAAGCTGGGTCCTTACTTCATGTCATATAGAAAGTAAAGTTCTAAATATGAAAAAAAGAACCATGGGGCCGGCCTCTTGGCGCAAGCGGTTAAGTGCGCGCACTCCGCTGCGGCGGCCCGGGGTTCACAGGTTCAGATCCCAGGCGCGCACCGATGCACCACTTGTTGGGCCATGCTGTGGTGGCATCCCATATAAAGTGGAGGAAGATGGCCATGGATATTAGCTCAGGGCCAGTCTTCCTCAAGAAAGAAGGGGAGGACTAGCATCAGATGTTAACTCAGGGCTAGTCCTCCCAAAAAAAAAAAAAAAAAAAAACCCAAAAAAGTCCTAAAACTATAGAAGAATAAAGGTACTTTTGTAACATTAGACTGGGAAAAATAGGAAACTATAACAGAAAAGATTGACAGATTTGACGACATAAAACATAAAAATTTCTCAATAGGAAAAAAACGCCATAAGCAAAATTTAAAATTCAGTTGACACTAGGCAAAAAAAAATAATAATAATACATAGCAACAAACAGGGTTAAATCCTTAAGAAAGAGCTGCAACAGATCAGTAAGAAAAAGACAAGCAGCCTAGCTGGAGAATATTGGGCAGAGGTTATGAATAGGCACTTCACAGAAAAAGAAATACAAATGACTAATAAGAATGTTCAACTACTTTAGTGATCAGAGAAATACAATTTGAAACAATTAACAGGGATCCACGGATGTTCGTTGTAATATTATGTGCAATATCAAAGAACAGGAGACAATAGCCATATCTAACAATAGTTAAGGCATGGTATGTCATATTTTAGAATATAATATGATTATGAAAAAGAATAGAGTGGATATGTATGTAATGATATGGAAATATATGTTTGATACATTGTTGAGTTAAGAAAAAGCAAGTTTCAGAACAATGAATATAGCATGATCTATTTCACTTTTTTTTTTTTTAAGTCTATGTATGCAGGAAAAGAGTTGGGAGCATACATACACAAGCTGTTGACAAGTGGGGAACAGGAGGTCTTTATATTTATAGGCACGTCCACATTGCTTCCATTTTTATGATGAGCAAATATTGTTTTTGGAATAATTTTTTTTTAAGGTATCTTGACCTGAGAAAGGAGTCAGAATTCCAGCCATGCTCCCTCCCTTAGCTAAAAATCATAGTGAAGGACTTAACTTCTATTGGCCTCAGCCACCTTCTCTGTTTAAAAACAAATAAATAAAATTTAAAAACACGGGGCCAGCGCCGTGGCATAGTGGTTGAATTCTGCACGCTCCACTTCAGCGGCCCAGGTTCTCAGGTTCAGATCCTGGGTGTGGACCTACACACGTCAGCCATGCTGTGGTGGTGACCCACATGCAAAATAGAGGAAGATTGGCACAGACGTTAGCTCAGGGCTAATCTTCCTCAGCAAAAAATAAACTTCCATATTTTTCAAGTGTTATGGTGGGTATGGCTACTTTTATAATCAAGAAGATGACTAAGCCACTGTTTTGCTTTTTTAATAAGAGAGTTGCACTAGATCTCTCAAGATTCTTCCAACTCTAACATCTAAGACTCTTTGATCTCAGATTTGCTCAAAATTTGAAATTAAAAAACAAAAAGCTGGACACTGACGTTTGGGTTCTCAACACTAAATTGTGCTAGACTACTTTCAGCCACTGCTGAGAGGGAGTTGTGCAGTTTCCGCAAGCTCGTTGCTCTTTTTTTCAGTTCTGGAAGCCTTTTCTTCTCCTGGGGCTCTGTGTTGCCTGCCTCTCAGGAGGGAGGGCTGACCCCACAGGACTGAGGTCTGTCCCTGGCATCAGGGCTGCTAGACTTAACCCTGGGCCACAGAGAAGAGAGGCTATTTTTGTTGTGGGGGCTCAATGGTTGGCCTCTCTCCAAGAGCGCGTGCTTGTTGGTATGGTTGATGCATCTTGCCTGCTGCGGCCGTCTCTGCCACTGCTTCCAGAAAACACTTGAGAACATGTTTGTCCAGCGCCAAGAGCTTAAACCTGAGATGAGTGTACAGGGCTGAGTGCTCTTTTTTTGTGTTCCCTCTTCTGGCCATTCCAAGGGCAACAGAAGACCAGAGTATGGCTCAAATGGAGCTGGAAAGACTTTTCTCCTAGAGCTGTACTTGAAAGGGGCCACTGCCTCCTGACTGCGGGTGCAGGGAACTCATTCCAAGCATCTGGGCTTTCTCAGCCTTAACCAAGCTGCTAGGGCTGCCCTCACCTTCGTCAGCCTGGTGGGGTTTGCTCAGGGCTGCAGTTCATCTCACCTACTATCCAAATCTCTTTTTATCAGTCCAGCCTGGGAACAGTGGCCTTATTAGTGTAGGGCTTGATGTGAGCCTGGCATGTACCCGGATCCATATCCAGCCTTGTCAGGTTCCTCAGGCAAATCCAGTGTCCCAAGTCAGCCTGTGGCAAGAAGGCCATCGGAACAGCTGCCCCAGTCCATCAGCCCTTAGTTTGTGCAGAGGAGTAGCTCCCAGCAGGGCCTCTGTGTTGCCCAACTCCAGGGGCAGGGGCCATTTACACTGGGCACTGGGGGTTCATATATAGATAAGACTATATGTAGTGCCCCTGGAGTTGTGTAGCCCAGTGGCCCTGGCTCCAAGCCTGGTACCACCTGAGACCTACACACGGATGGTGAATCCCTCACCAGCATCAAGTTGTCATCGCACAAAGCACTTACTGAGTGCCCCTTGGGGACTGGGCTCTAAGGATACAGCCTTTGCCCCTGGAACCTCCAATACAAGATAAGCAGCTGGTGCGGGCAGTCTGAGGTAGACTTCTGTGTTGGTCAACACAGATACGTCATTTGACTGGCTTTCTCAGCTACCTTCTTGATTCCAGAACTTCTGTAGTCCTCCTCTTTACGAGTTCTAATTTTGGGGGGATTATTTTTCCTTTCAGTTGCAGAGCTACTTTGCTGCATGTGAAGATGAGACCCCTGCCATCCGGAACCACGATAAGGTCCTGCAGCGTCTGTGTGAACACTTGGACCATGCCCTGCTGTATGGGTAAGGTGGAGATAGTTTCTGGAAAATTCTATAGGACAACACAGGGCACAACCGAGGCCATAAGTAGCCTCCAGAGAGAAGTCCCTAGCCTTGTCTGGCTTTTATTTCTTCTTTCTCTTGGCAGAAAGAGATTCGTCTCACTCAAGTGGGCCACAGGCTGTCTGTAGTTATCCCAGTAAATCATCTCTGAGCAGGCATGAGTGATTGGGGAAGGAATTAGCAACAGAGGAAATGATGCTGTGAAGGCATGGTGGTTGCCTGTGGGTCTCGCTGGGAATCCATTGCTTTCAGCCTCAAGCTCACTACTGACACAAAGGCTGGTGGACCAGCTGACTGCAGCTTCCCAGGGTGGCCCCGCTTAGGTCATAGCAGCTCCCGTCCTATTTTCTCAGACTGCAAGACCTCTCATCTGGCTACTGGGTGCTCGTGGTGCATTTCACCCGGAGAGAGGCCATCAAACAGATCGAGGTGCTGCAGCATGTGGCCACCAACCTGGGGCGCAGTGAGTAGTACCAGGTTGACTGGGAAGGGACCAGCTCCGCCCTCCCTGTGGGTAGCTCGGGGCTCAGGTGTGGCCTCAGCGTCAGCCCTGGGAGGCTGACCACCTTGTGGTGTCCAGTGGCAGTGGGTATTAAAATGCCAGTGCCCTCCATGAGGCCTCTCTTCCCCCTGCATGTGACAGGGTGTTGGGGCCTCGTGGGTGGGGTGAAGGAGAGGGAGATGCTGAAGAGAACTGGACTCCTATCAATCCCAACCCGTGCACATAATGAGGAGTCTCGCTTCTCACCCTGAGCTAGGATCAGTGTTAGCCTACAGAATCAGTGGAGAATCCTTGCCTTACTCAACCCATCTGAAGTTTACAATCTGCCCTCTTTATCAGAGTTTCCTGGCCAGCTACAGGCTGTGCCCCGACAGGGAGAATAAAGATTTCAGGGGTTATGGCGCTCCAACAAGAGAGACGGCTGTTGGAGTGCTTGGTCCCTCAGCCACTCTTTCTTTCCTTTCTGCCCTTGGTTAGCCAAAAAAAGCCAGCACCCTGACAGGCCTTCCTTCCAGTTACTCCTGCCCTTTGTTTGTAGGCCGGGCCTGGCTGTACCTGGCTCTCAACGAGAACTCCTTGGAGAGCTACTTGCGATTGTTCCAGGAGAACCTGGGTCTGCTGCATAAGTACTATGTCAAGTGAGTGTCCTCAATGGTCTCTCTCACGTAGCCCCAGAGGTCCCCTTGAGCCTCGTACCAAAGACTCTTGTCACATGCAGACACCATGGTGTGCCACACCAAAGGCCTGGCCTGGCATTGCATGCTGAGGACACATCAGTGATGGCTAAAGAGCCATTAGAGCCTTGCCTATGATGGCTTTTGCCAGGAGTACTTGTATTCTAGCTGGTCTCCTGTGTAGCAGCCTGCTGCTCTGCCTCTGCCTGATCCTCTCTCCAGGCCTCAGACCTGAATGGAATGCTCAGCCTTTGCTAGAGTTGCCACAGGAACAGAGTATTTATAGCAGCTGCTAAGAGCCAGATGAGCCTTATGCGGCGGGCCCCATATCTGAAGACACTGGCAGTAAAGTGCTGTGTGGCTCCAAACCCAGCAGGAGAATGCTAGAAAGGGGCAAGGGAAGCCTACATCAAGCTGGGTGTCCTCCAGGGTGTGGGGATGTCACACATCAAATTTCAACACAGCTGCATGTGGGTGAGGTAGGGCCAAGAGGTAACCAGACCCAGAACCACCATCGTCCCTTCTCATGTCTTGCAGGAATGCCCTGGTCTGCAGCCATGATCACCTGACTCTCTTCTTGACCTTGGTGTCTGGGCTGGAGTTCATTCGATTTGACCTGGATCTGGTGAGACACCATGGCTCCCACTGCTTATGGGGGCAGGGGAGTGGGTGGGGTGGGCGCACAGTGTCATTTCTCAGGTCCCTCTCAGGGAGCCTGTTGGCTGTGACTGAGCCTGAGCAACGCCTTGTTTGTTCAGGTGAGGGAGGGGTTCAGGGTCTGAACAGTGGAATTGAGTGGAATGGAGGTGATTCTCTCTTTGCTTATTTAAGACCAGAACTCCTGGTTCAAGTGACTCCTTCCTATCTCTCTGTCCCAGCCTGGAGAAAAGCCACATTTTCTGGAGTATTTTAGCACTGAAGTTCTCCTTCATGTTTAGGACTTGGGTGTTTGAGAGGGACAAGACAGATTCATCCCTATGCCTCCTGGGTTCCTGGAAGTGTCCGCAGCTCCATGCTTCCTGGCCTCCCCCACTCTCATGCACTAGAGAAATAGGATGCGGCCCACAAAGAGCTAAGGAGGCTGCCGAGCCCCTCTTGGACTCAGGCTCATCAAGGTGCATGCAGCTGCCTCATCCTAATCAAATCACCTTCCTAGGTCCCTACCCCGTCAACACAGACTGAAAAAGGAACTTGGCTACTGAAAAATAGTAGAAATTGGAGACAATGAACAACTCTAGTAGTAAAAGACATCGAGGAGGGGCTAGACGGCATAGCTGGGTTCTGTCATCTTTGTCGGCCTCAAGTCCACAGCTTTAGGAGCCGCAACCATTCACGTTACTGTTTTTAACAGCTTATTTTTGAATTTAGTACCTTAAGCCCATTGATTTCCCAAAGAAAAACTGACGCGGGAGCGTGTGACAGGCAGATCCATGGCTTCCGATCCTGGACTCTGCTGTCTGCGGAAGGCTGTGTTTTGGGGCCCAGCCCAGGCCTCCCGCCACCCAAACCTGCCTTTCCCACTCTCTCCTCAGGACGCCCCTTACTTAGACTTGGCCCCCTACATGCCTGACTACTACAAGCCTCAGTACCTGCTGGACTTCGAAGACCGCCTTCCTAGCTCGGTCCATGGCTCGGATAGCCTGTCCCTCAACTCCTTCAACTCCGTCACTTCCACCAACCTGGAGTGGGATGACAGTGCCATTGCCCCATCTAGTGAGGGTAAGTGGCCCCGGGGCGGAGGAGCCCAGCCTCCGGAACTGATTCTGGAGCCATTGAAGCCTGGCTGGGTGACATCTTTCTTGGCTACTTTTGGCCTGGTGGTTGAAATTTGAAGTTGAACAGGCCTAGCCATTTCCCAGATCTTCATTTCCTCAGCGTCCCTGTGGTGGCTAAAAAACTGATTCTAGGAATAAAAAGCCAAAATGAGATCTTATGAGTGTTAGACCCTTTCCCAGAAGGCTGTAGCCACGTGTCCAGGGGCAGTTTTCTGAGCAAGGGGAGATTAGCAGTGCAACCTGGAGACTCTTCCTGACACAGGAAGGGTCTGGCAGGGGTGAATGTCGCCTGCTCTGGGGAGCTTGTCCTACCCTAGATTCTAGGCAGACAGAGGCTAAGCAACCCCTGGAAGAAGAGAGAGAGGCCGGCCTGGTGGTGTAGCGGTTAAGTGTGTGCGCGCTCTGCTGCGGTGACCAGGGGTTCACAGTTTCGGATCCTGGGTGCGCACCGACACACCGCTTGTCTAGCCGTGCTGTGGCAGCGTCCCATATAAAGCAGAGGAAGATGGGCACAGATGTTAGCCCAGGGCCAGTCTTCTTCAGCAAAAAAGAGGAGAATTGGCAACAGATGTTAGCTCAGGGCTGATCTTCCTCACAAAAAAAAAGAAAAAAAAAAAAGGAGAAGAGAGAGCCAGATGGGCCCAAAGTTTAGAGGAAAACTTGCCACCATTTCTCATGGGTCCATCTGATTTCTGAGTCCCTCCTGCACTTGCCAGTGTGTTAGGGATGATTGCACCCATTGCTTCAAAGACTGAAAAAGAGTAGCTCACATCAGTAGGTCATTTTATTGTCTTGATCCAACAACTGATTGGAACAGTCTGGTTTCTTTCAAACCTTAGGCCTCCATGTTCATTTGTAAAACTGGCTGTTGCCCCACCTTCATCCCATGAGGGAAGCCAGATCTCTTCATTTACTGCACCCCACCTCACCTCCAGGGAAGGGGATCTGAGCACAAGTTCAGCCCCTGGGGCTCCCTAGAATTGCGTCAGCACCGAGACCTCGACCTTCTTCTTTATTTCTGCTGTGCCGTGGGTCATATGTCCCAGGGAGAGGGCAGTTACTTTCAGGCTTGCTGTCAGCAAGACTTCCGTTGTTCGGTGTACAAGCAGAAGATGGCAGCTCAGTCTCCTCGGGTTGGGCTCATGGGCTGCCTCAGACAAGTCAGAGGGATGGGCCTTGAGGGAGCAGCCAGACTCTCCACGGAGGGAGGAGTCCCCTTGAGCCCACCTCATGTCAGCTGCTGGGTATGGAGGGAAGGAAGGCAAGGGATAGAAAAGAAGGTGAGTGCAGCGGAGCCCATGTGCTTCTCTGCCAGAGCCGGGTTCTGGCGTTGGAAAGGATTGCCCCCGGAGGCCTTTCTAGCTGGTCAGAGGCTCCTGGGCCAGTGCCTGAGCTGAGAAGCAGCTGGGGTCCTAATAAGTTCCCCAGAGGTTGTCAGAAAAATATAGAGAGTTTAATTTTTTCCTCTCTTGTTTTCTCCCCATGTCTCCCACCCTGTTGCCCCTACCCTCCCTGTCCTTCCACTGCCTGTTTCTAATCTTCAGTTTTGTCCCTCATTTTTATAGATTATGATTTTGGAGATGTGTTTCCAGCAGTGCCGTCTGTACCCAGCACAGACTGGGAAGGTGGGACAGAGTCTGCTGTTACCCTCTTTTCCTGTTTTGCAACATTTCCATGCCAAGCTTGCTGCATGATTCAAAATCAGCTCATTATTTATAATAATGTCAATGATCATAATAAAGCAAAGTTTGGTGTGCTGATAGATGGAATTCTTCAGTAGGAGAACCTGACCTTAGCCCTAGGCAAATCCCTTCTCCTCATGCAGGACTCCTGCCTTTATGCAATGGTCTTGTGGAATGACTAAGTGACGGCATTTCGGGGACACACTGATGACCCCTCCTGATTCCAATGCCAGTCAATGCATCAGACATGCACAGGGAACTGCCAACCTGTGGGGCACGAGTGGCCCGATCCAGTGAGTGGAGACTCGTTCTGGAAGGCGATGCCTTTGAACATGTAGGTTGTAAACTCCTTTAGGTCAGGTGCGCTCCTGTATCAGAAGCATCAAGAAGCAAAGGCAGAGAGCTTGATTCCTTCAGTCTGTTCTTAACGGCTTCTTCTCAGGTATTTTTTAAAGAGATTGAGGTCCAAGTGAGGGAAATTGCCCAAGCACAGCTGAAACTTCCTACAGGGAGATCCTCTTTGAAGTTTTAAGGCAGATTAAAATAAAATCTGAGAACCCTCCCACCCTGTCCAATAGGCAGCAGCAATACTTGGGCATTTTTCTGCCCATGACCCCACTTCTAGGCTTGTGAAAATTCATGAAGCTATTTCCCATGATTACTCAAAGCATATAGGGCATGTTTCTGAGACGGTTAATGCTTCCTCCTTAAATCTGAGGCCATAACTGGACCCGCCCCCCCACTTCCACCCAGGGTGGGGTAGGAGACCCAGCCTCTGAAGGAGGAGGTGCCAACTACTCAGCCTGAGCAGGAGGGATGGGTGGCTCTCCCCATTGCTCCGGAGCTGGCCCCTTTGTTATTAGAGAGCTGTGATCTCTGAGTGGTGGATGACAGATGGTCTTTTCCCAAGTAATATGAGTATGAAACAGCTTAAGTTTGAGGGAAATAAGATATGGCATTGGGAAAAATAAATTATGGCATCTGACCAGGAGCGTAGCGTTGAAGAGTCCCACGTTTAAGTTAAGATTAGCTGGAAATCCAGAATTCCATCATAACATCATCTATCTCTCGGCCTCTCCTCTTGCAGTGCACATGCTAGGCATTGATTTTTCCCCGTCTGATTCTAACGACTAACCCCCCTTCTGACCCAGCTACTTGCTGCCTGTTGCAGTCACTTGACAAGCAGGCCCTGACTTCCTCTGCAGCCTGCCAGAGCTCCCTGTGGCCTGAGAACTAGCAGCCCAGTCACACTGCTTGCTCGGGCCAGGCTGGGCTCTGGGGCAGGGTGAGATTCATCCCAGCAGTGATCTCCTGCTTTCCTGAGTTCCTTGAGCACCAAAGAATTCCTGATCCCACGCTGGCAGCTCACCTGGGGAGGCTTTGTCTTCTCTTGAGACTTGGAGGAAAGCGGGATTTGGGGGCAGGCCCAAACTCTGGGCCCTGAGGTGGGGATTGGGCGGCCTTTCCGTTGTCCCTGGCTCATTTACAGAACTTCTGGGTATCCCAGCCTTGACACCCACCACGTCCAGGGGTCTGCTCGCTCACCTCTCAGGACCCCTCCCATGAGCTACTGCAGATCTCCAGGGGCTGGAACAAGAACCCATGGGCTTTGCAGGAAGCTTCTTTGAGACCAAAGCACAGGGTGTTTTTGTATTTGAGAACTAAGGCTCTAAGGTTGCAGGATATCTGAAGGAAGTCTCATGTATTGCTGGTGTTTTCTTGGCAGAGCTGGCAATTGCTTTTGGCCCTCCTTTGTCCTTGTATTAAAAGCCAGTGTACTTCTAAACAAAATAGATGATGTGCTGCATCAGCAGACAGCTGCCCAGTGGTTTCCAAGACCCGCCAGGAGGCTGACAGCAGGTTGGGCCCTTCTGGATGAGGCTGAGGTTGGGAAGCATGTTTGCCACATCTTCTCTGGGCAGATAATGGCCAGCAAGATGTGTGTAAGCTGGCTAATGGAGCATGAGCATCCTGTGCCCCTTGCCATTAACCCTCACCCAGGCTGTTATCTGCCACCAGCTAAATGCCCCGTGTGCTTTTCATGCTGGTGCTCCCTCCTCTCCGTGTCCTGTTCCATTGACCTGGGGTGGGTGCTTGGAGGGGGACAGTTAAACCAGCTCCTCTCTGAAGGAGCAGCATCGTCCCCCACCTGCCTTCTCCCTAGGGTGGAGCCATGGGTGAGTGTGACCCAGAGAGGACCAGTAGGCAGGCTGAGGTTTGAGTGAAATTGAGTTCTCAGCTCTCGCCTTAAAGGGGCGCCTGGTCCTCCCCCCCGGAGTGTGCTGGTGGGATGTCCATGATGGTGGGGTGTCAGGGAGAGAAGCAGCCGCTAAAGGGCCCACAAGGCCCCTGCCAGGAGTCAGCCACTGCTCCCCTTCGCACCTCATTCTCTCCACTGTGCTCTGGTCCTCCTTTCTGCCCTTGCCCCGTGCTCCTCACCCTTTGGGCTCCCTATCCTATCCTCTCAGCCTCCGCCCTCCACTCTGTACCCCTCATTTTCTCTGACCCCTGTTCTCTTCCTCTGTTTTTCTCTTTGTTCCTTTTTATCTGCCTCTGTGGGGGACCCTGCAGAGGACTTTGGGTATCTCAGCGCTGCCGGGGCGTGTGGTGCTAAAGGGGCTGCCGGCTACCCCTCTAGCATCCTGTGACGGACGGCTCTAAGGTTAACCTCAGAGTTGTGCAGCCCATCTCCTCTTGAGACATCAAGGTCACTGTCCCTGAGGAGCATCAGCCTGGAGGCTGCTTAACCTTGGGGCTCTTAACTGGAATTCAGCCAAATTGCTGTGAGCTCTCGAGGGCTCCCAGTGGTGGTGGTGATGGCGTCCCTCCAAGTTGCTCTTAAAGCACAAATCCCATGTCCTGTTGGCATGGGGCTTCTACTCTTGAAAGAGGGTCACCCCAATCAGATTTCCCTGGGAGGAACTCACCTGCCTCCCTCATGAGATAAGGCATGCTTTGGGGGCCTGGGGTCCCCAGATGGTATCTGAAGGGCTGTCCCCTGTTTCCTGTTCTCCCAGATGGAGACCTCACAGACACTGTCAGTGGCCCCCGCTCCACTGCCTCCGACCTGACCAGCAGCAAGGCTTCCACCAAGAGTCCCACCCAGCGCCACAATCCCTTCAATGAGGACCAGGCAGAGACTGTGTCCTCCTCTGACACCACCCCTGTGCACACCACCTCTCAGGAGAAGGGGGAGTCCCACGCCTTGGACCTGCCAGACGCCTGCACAGAGCTCGAAGTTATCAGGTCAGCAGGGAGGGGCCCCGAGAAGTTGGGTGAGCATCCTGGTGTCCCTCCTGTCCACTCCTAGCATCACTTTTTAGTCCACGCAGACTGGGAGCCCCCCTGAGGGCAGTTGGACATCTTTTTGGAAACTAAGTACCCCTCCCCTCCTTGGTAGTTCTTTGAACAGGAGGAAACAGAGGACCCGAGCCGAGAAGGCAGGTGGCACAGGCAACACCTGTGGCTGGCTTCTGGGGCTGTGCCCAGGCCGCTAGGGCATTTGTCCGGTCCACCCAGGACCAGAAAGCACCTTTAGAATGGACTTATTTCCAAGGGAGTTCTTGGACAATAATGCACAATTTCTGAGATTTGTACTAATTCTAGTTCAGCAGGGCTCATTGAAAGAAAGGTGTCTTGGTCATATCAACAGGGACAGAGAAGGGAAGGAGGAGGTGGATGACAAGTTGGGAAATTCTTGGTCTAGAGCCTCCACGGCCCCCTGACCTCCCCTGGCTCCTGCTCTTGAGACTCAGCACTGAAGGAGAAGATGCGCATGTCAAACCTCCCTGAGGCTTGCTGGCCCAAGGCGAGGCGGGGGAATTGCTCCCCAGTGACTAGAGCCAGGAGTCTGACTCCCACAGGCTGGTTTGAGTCCAGAGCAGCTTGAACTGTTCAGACCCAGTGTCACTTAGCCAGGCCCACTCTGGCCAACTTGGAACCAAGGAGTGGGGGCCAGGGATTTGAGCCCAAAAGACTTTGAGTACAGTCTGGTTGAATTATCCATGATGATACCTAATGGAAAGTGAGGTCAGCTCAGGGCCCATTGCCCACATCCTAAGGGGTAGGCGGAGTAGAGGGGCCATTGGTCTGACCAGCCCAGGTCTGTTTTTGTTCCCTAGAGCACAGCCAGCTGGAATTCATAGGACCTACTCAGGGGTTCCTCTGGCTGCTGCCCTCTGTGCCTCCCTCCTGCTGGTCCCTGCCTCTGCCAGCAATGGGGGCTACCTCGGGGCCTGACCGCTGTTACCCCCTGGCCCAGGGCCTCACACCTAGCTTTGGACCACTGAAGCTCTGGCTGTGCCCTCAGATGACCTCTTTTGACCCAGCCCATCTAATTTCCCTCAGTACTGTAGTGCTCAGAACTTAAATCTCTCCTCATCGCTACTGTCCCAGGGTCACCAAGAAAAAGAAAACTGGCAAGAAGAAGAAGACCAGATCGGATGAGGAAGCAAGTCCACTTCACCCAGCCTCTACCCAGCACACTTGTGCCAGGCGGGAGGATGGTGACAGCCTTGTCAGTAGCCCAGGCCTTGGGCAGGGCTCACCAGACACCACCTTTGCGTCCCCCCAGGAGGAAGGAGAGGGGCCCAGCAGCACAGCTGAGAGCAGTGAGCGCTCGGAGCCCGGCCAGATGGGCCTGCTTATCCCTGAAATGAAGGACACCTCCATGGAACGCTTGGGGCAGCCCCTGAGTAAGGTCATTGACCAGCTCAACGGGCAGCTGGACCCCAGCACCTGGTGCTCCCACGTCGAGCCCCCAGACCAGTCCTTTCGGACCGGCTCTCCGGGGCATGCCCCGGAGAGGCCGCCATTTTCCGACTTTAGTGAAGGGCTTTCAGCCCCAATGGACTTCTACCGCTTTACCATTGAGAGTCCAAGCACTGTTACATCAGGTGGCAGCAACCATGACCCTGCAAGGCCTGGCCAACCGCTGCATGTTCCTGGTAGCCTTGAGGCTGCTGTCCAAGAAGAAGAGGGAGGAGGAGGAGAGGGACAGGCGCCTCGGTCCCTAGAGGACACCCCGGGAGAGGCTCAGGAGCCAGAGACCCAGGAACTGGAGACCCCGTTGCCCCCGGTCGGTGAGGGGCCTGTGCCTGAGCTGGAGCCTGGGACCCAGGTGGCTCTTTGCCGGCTCAAGCGAGACCAGCCCAGCCCATGTCTGAGCAGCGCTGAGGACTCTGGGGTGGATGAGGGGCAGGGCAGCCCTTCTGAGATGACCCACTCGGCAGAGTTCAGGTGAGCAAGGCTGGCTGTGCTGCTCGAGTGAGAGGTGTTCCCTGTCCTTGAAGCAGGGGACATTGGGCATCTGTCCTCTAAATAAACTAAACACTGCTCCTGCAAGACCTAGCCTGGGCTGGGAGGTAGGAAGGAGTGGGATCCTGCCCTGTCTCCTTTGTGCTGCCTCTGGGTGCCTATGTCGCCTCTCCTGCCCTTGCCCCAGCCTGACACCTCACCCTCCCCACGCTTGTCCCTCTCACAGAGTAGACAACAATCACTTACTCCTGCTGATGATCCATGTGTTTCGAGAAAATGAAGAACAGCTCTTCAAAGTAAGTCCCAGGAACTCAAGAATGAGCAAGAGACACACAGCAAGGGCGGGCGGGATGGGCCACCCAGCCCATTCAGAAGAGGAAGCTACAGCCCGGGGCAGGGCAGGAGCCACAGTGCCTGACCTCTCTTTGCTTCGGCCCCTCAGATGATCCAGATGAGCACAGGGCACATGGAGGGCAACCTGCAGCTGCTGTACGTGCTGCTCACAGACTGCTATGTCTACCTGCTCCGGAAAGGTGCCTGCCACCCCCAGGCTAGCTGGTTGAGGATCAGACTGACTGCCGCCCCTTTCCCCATGCCCCCCACCCCTGAGTGTCTCTCGGCTGCCTGGCGGGTGGTGATGAAAAGGCACTCCACAGGAGGTGTTGCTAGCAGTCCCAGCAGCCCCAAGACATCAGCCTGGGGGCCTCCCCTCCACAAGCACCTCATGTCAGTCTCCTACTCCATCATTTAAGATCGCAGAGCAAGGATAGGTCTTCTCTGAGAGAGGGGCCAGGTCTTAGGAAATGGGGTAGGAGGAGGGAAAAGAGGCCATTAGGGTTAAGAGCCATTGGGGTCTCCTCTCTCAGGGGCCACAGAGAAGCCATACCTGGTGGAAGAGGCCGTTTCTTACAATGAACTTGACTACGTGTCGGTGAGTTCAGGCTCCGCAGTCGGTGTATGCTGTAGGGCAGGGCTCCTCCCGCCACCCGCCCTGAAGAGCTGCAGAGCAAGCCATGTCCCCTGCCTCGGCCCCCGGGTTGGGTGCCAGCTCCTCTCTCAGAGCAGCTTCTGTAGACGATGCTGGGGATCAGAACCAAGCTTGAGGATGCCTCTTCCTCCGCCATATTTCTGACCATCCCTCCCCAACTCATTCCAGGGTCCCAGGCCTCTGGGGCTTTACCTCCTGGCAACCCCAGGGTATGCTTCCTCCCTCCCCAGCCAGCCCTCAGTCTGGCCATGGCTGCCTCTTCTGCCAGGCAGCAGCCAAGCCCTGTGTGCATGTGAAGGTGTGGTTTCTGGCAGGTGGGCCTCGACCAGCAGACCGTGAAGCTGGTGTGCACCAACCGCAGGAAGCAGTTTCTGCTAGACACGGCTGACATGGCCCTGGCTGAGTGAGTGACACTCCGCCCCTGCAACAGAACTGGAGACTCGGCATCTGCCACTGGTGTGGCCGTGTCCTGGACTCCCTGCCCTTCAGGGTGGAGGGTGGGAAGTGGGATACAAAGAAGTGGAGAACAGGGGCCAGCCCGGTGGCATAGTGGTTAAGTTTGCACGCTCCACTTTGGTGGCCCGGGGTTCGCAGGTTCGGATCCCAGGCACGGACCTATGCACCGCTTATCAGGCCATGCTGTGGTGGCATCCCACATATAAAGTGGAGGAAGATGGGCATGGATGTTAGCCCAGGGCCAATCTTCCTAAGCAAAAAGAGGAGGATTGGCAACAGATGTTAGCTCAGGGCTGATCTTCCTCACAAAAATAAACGAAGTAGAGAACAGAGATGTTCCCTCTAGAACCTGCAGTCTGGTCAGAGAGGCAGGGAAGTGAACAAGCACACTGACCGATTGACTCGTGGTCAATGCAGGTGTCATACAGAGGGGAAGGGGTCTGGCACAAGTTACCTAATAAGAGAGAAAGCACAAGCCCAGCCACTAGGCCATGGCGTGCCCCCACATAGTTCCATACAAAAATTGTGTGTGGGGCCGGCCCGATGGCGTAGCGGTTTTAAGTTCACGCGTTCCACTTCGGCAGCCCGGGGTTCAGTTCCTGGGCGTGGACCTACGCACGGCTCATCAAGCCATGCTGAGGCGGCCTCCCACATGGAACAACTAGAAGGATGTACAACTATGACATACAACTATCTACTGGGGCTTTGGGGAGAAAAAAGGAAAAACAGGAGGAAGATTGGCAACAGATGCTAACTCAGGGCCAATCTTCCTCAAAAAAAACAAAACAAAACAAAAGAACATTGTGTGTAATAAGATCGTGTCCTTGTACCAGTCCTGCCGTGTCACCCTGTCCAGGCTCCCTCACTGTCAAAACCCAAGGCCCCTTGGCCATTGGGAATGGTTAGGCCTTTTCCAAGTCACTGTTTGATGACCGGGGACTTCTGCTACACCGTTGCCCCACCCACTGCCCTGAGCTCTGGTTCCAGCTTTCGTAACCCCTTCAGGCCAAGAACCCTCAGGAGTAAGCCCTTTCCACTTGAGGGGTGGGGGCCCCCAGGCCTCTGACAGCAAACCCCACTCCCTTTGCAGGTTCTTCTTGGCTTCTTTGAAGTCAGCCATGATCAAAGGCTGTCGGGAACCACCATACCCCAGCATCCTGACTGATGCCACCATGGAGAAGCTGGCACTGGCCAAATTTGTGGCCCAAGAATCTAAGTGTGAGGTAAGAACCTGGGGAGGTGGGGGTGTCGCCCTGACATGCCAGCTCCTGTGTTAGGGTCAAGAGGTGCAAATAGATGTCTTGAGCATTCCTCCATCACCCACCGGGGAGGGGATCTCCTACCCCGGGTCCTGTCCCCCTCCCCACTTGGGTGTGTCCTTGCTCTCAGTGGCCACTCCTGGTGCTGGGCCGTTGCTGAGCCTGGCCCAGACTTCACTGGTCTGTCCACTGCCCCCTCCCCAGGCGACCGCTGTGACTGTGCGCTTCTATGGGCTTGTGCACTGGGAGGACCCCATGGATGAGTCCCTGGGTCCTGTCCCCTGCCACTGCTCACCCCCCGAGGGCACCATCACCAAGGAAGGCATGCTGCATTACAAGGCGGGCACCTCCTACCTGGGCAAGGAACACTGGAAGACCTGCTTCGTGGTGCTCAGGTGGGGGCCCCACCACTCTGGCCTCAGGCGTGGCCTAGAGGTTGTTGGGCTATCAGGTCACTGGGGAGAGGCCCGAGGGGGACGCCTCCCTCCTCCACAAGGGCTTTGGAGTGGACATACCCTGGGATGGTAGAGCTTCTCTGTAAAGCCAGCCATCTTTGGCGCCCAAGGGGTGCCGGAGTGCCTCCAGTGTAGACCCGGCCTGGGGCCACCGAGCCTTAGCTGTCCCCAGGTCTGCCGAGGGGCAGCGTCTCCTGCTGTGCCTCCACAGTTCTTTCTTCACCCTCCCTTCCATAGAAGACAGGCCCCTGGCCTCTGTGGTCCCTAGGGTTCAAGGCCCCAGCTTGCGGTTCCTGGGACAGGCCTCACCCCTGCCATGTTGTGCCCCTGCAGCAACGGGATCCTTTACCAGTATCCCGACCGCACCGATGTCACGCCCCTGCTCTCCGTGAACATGGGGTGAGTGTCCGGGGTGATGGGGGGCTGGACAGGTGTTGGGCCTGACGTCACTGCCTGAAGGTCAAGGCTCCGGCTGAGACTGGGGCCCAGGGCTCCTGTTCTCCCTGGCTTGAGCTGGCTCTCCCTCTTATCAGTTCAGCCTGCCCCCCTCCGTCCCACCTCACCCAGCAGCCTTGACTGGTACCCTAGGGTGTGCTGAGCCCCGAGGGCTGCAGGAACCCCAGGGAGGGGAGGAGGAGAGGCTTCCTCTTAGGGAAGCAAGAGGAACCCCCTGCCTGGAAAGGGTCCAGTCTGATAGGGAAGGCAGTCCCCCAGGCTGATGACACACACATACTTGGAGAAAACTTCAGGCCCGTGAGAGGGAACATCAATGAATGTGCAGAATCTGAGAGGGCCGGAGCTAAGACCTGATTCTCACCCCTCACCTGGCCATGTTTAGATGTCTAGAAGGATCTTGGTGATTCTAAGATAAAAAGTGTTACACAGAAAGGGATGGGGCTGCCCAGCAGCTTTAAGCCTCTCCTGAGAGCCGGAGGGGTCTTGACCACCTTTTGGTGTCCTCCAGCCCTCGGGACTACAGTGCAGGCCCTGTGTCCACAGGCCTCAAGCCAGCCCCAGGGACTCCCACCCCGTGCCACCCCTGCCTCCTCGCTCCCGTTTCACCCCTCCTCCTCTGGCCCAGGGGGGAGCAGTGCGGTGGCTGTCGGAGATCCAACACCACGGATCGGCCCCACGCCTTCCAGGTCATCCTCTCTGACCGGCCCTGCCTGGAGTTGAGCGCCGACAGCGAGGCCGAGATGGCCGACTGGATGCAGCACCTCTGCCAGGCCGTGTCCAAAGGGGTGAGCCCCTCTTGCCTCCACCGTCCACCTGGCCTCCCGACCCCCTCCAGGATCCCCAGGGGCCCTTCCCCAAACTCACACCAGTCATGGAGCAACCTGTGAGGACCAAGACGGGACCTCCAGGGGTCAGCCCAGCAGCGGACCCTGGAGCTCAGGGCCACCTGTGGCCTAGACACTCCCACTGTCACTCCTATCCCCACCCACACTACTGAGGTGGGCAGAGCCTGCCTGACTGCTGGAGTGAGGGGCAGAAGGGCTGGCTGGGCCCTTGGAGTGGGGAGTTCTGGTGCAGACCAGCCCTGGAGGGCTCCAGCCTGCCTCTCCCCCGCCCCTCTGCCAATGCCCTTCAGGTCATCCCCCAGGGGGTAACTCCCAGCCCCTGCATCCCCTGCTGCCTGGTGGTCACCGACGACCGCCTCTTCACGTGCCACGAGGATTGCCAGACCAGCTTCTTCCGCTCCCTGGGCCTCGCCAAGCTGGCCGACATCAGCGCTGTCTCCACCAAACTGGGCAAGGAGTACTGTGTCTTGGTGAGCGGGATGGGGGGCGGTGGAGGCGGGCACTGCAGAAGGCAGCCTGTCTGCTCACCTGGGGCCCCGGCTCTCCCTAGGAGTTCTCCCAGGACAGCCAGCAGCCCCTCCCACCCTGGGTCATCTACCTGAGCTGCACATCTGAACTGGACCGATTCCTGTCTGCACTGAACTCGGTGTGGAAAACCATCTACCAGGTACTTAGCTGCCCAGGGCCCTGCAGAGCAGAGCCATTCCCTAGGGAGAGGAGCCCCAGCTGCTCCCAGGACCTGGCCCTGCGTGGCATAGACCGAGGCAGGAGTCGGGGCTTGGAGTCAGCACTGTACCAGTAGCTTTGGGACAGACATGAACATTTAGGACCAAAGGGGCAAGATCTGACTCCCAGCGAGTCGGAGGCTACAGCTGAAAGCAGAGCCCGGAAATGCCATTCCTGATCTTCTCGGTTCCAAAGAAAATGCACAAGTTAAGTGCTCCCCATGGGGCTGGAGCTGTGCCCAGAGGTGGGGGCACAGGATTGGGAGGACACTCCTCCTGACCCTCGGAGCTCAGCACCAGGGTGGCAGGGCACTTATCCAACGCCCGCACAAATGGGGTTGGCCTGCGGGAGCTCTGGACTCGCCCAAGGCAGAAAGCAGTTCCAGAAGGAGACTCAGGTGCAGAGCCGATGAGAGCGCAGGGCCTGGCGTGTGGGGCCCACTGAGAGCTGGGCCTTCCCCAGAAGGAGAAGGCTCAGAGAGCGTCACCGTCGTCAGCTCGAGCCCCGCCTTGAAGAGCAGGAGAGTTTTGTGGCATGGATGGAGTTCCAGGACAAGGCTGCATCTGGGGCTGAGGAGCTCTGCGGCCCTCACAGATGCCTCTACGCCCCCACAGGTGGACCTCCCCCACAAGGCCATCCCGGAAGCCTCCAACAAGAAGAAGTTTGAGGACGCCCTGAGCCTCATCCACAGCGCCTGGCAGCGGAGCGACAGCCTCTGCCGCGGCAGAGCCTCCCGGGACCCCTGGTGCTGAGGCAGAGCTGGCTGGCATCCCGGTGGGGCAGGACGGGGGCACGCCATGCAGCACATACTGTCATCGCTGTGTCGTCGTGCTGCTTGGGGCCAGGCTTCCACCCCTGTTCTACAGCCCACTCCCACCCTGGATGGCAGAACCACAAGCGGGGTTTAGGACAGGGTCTGTCCCCTTCCAGGGATCCAGAACAGATGTTCAACACCCCTGGGCATCCTGCCTGGCAGGTGGGCACTGGAGAGTGCCGGGGGCAGAGGGTCTGAGCCCTGTGGGCTCTGCAGACGCATGGCCTCCTCCGTGGGGCCCCCGCCTCAGTCCACGCCATCTCTCTAGGTGGTGATGGGAATGATATCGACTCTGAGGGAAGTGGAAGGACTGGGAGGGCAGGAGGCCCCTCTTCCTCTCCTGGGTCAGGGCCCGGGCTGAGGCTCAGGGGGCCCTGGGTGCCCTGAGTGCCTGGCCATCGTTGTTCATTTTTGAACATCCGCCTGGCCATGCAGGGAGCTGGAACACTAAGGTCCCAGTGCATGTTTTCTCCTAACTCCATCCCCAGGCACACTGCTGCTGCCTTCCAGGGCCCGGGGCTATGGACTGGGGGCCGGCCTGGCCCTCGCTGGCTGCCAGGAGGCCCTGCATGTCCAGAGCCCCCTGCCCCTGCCTCTCCCCACCCCCGGCAGTGCCCATAGGACCCAGGAATCAAGCCGTCTCCTTTTGCCAGGAGCAAAGGGGAAGGAGGAGAGCTTGGAGAGAAGCAGAGCCCAGCAGCCTGGTGTCCACGTTGGCGCCTCCTGACTGTCCCCTGCTTGGCTGAGCCGGGCCCTTCCCGAGAGCTTTGTGAAGGGCCCTCTGGGGAAGGAGTCAGGTGGTCTGGGTTTTGTTTTTTAAAATAAAATAGACATGTTATATTGCCAAGACTTGTCACTGGCCCTTTTTGACTGGGGCCGAGGTGGCGGATCTCCAGCCACTCCTTTCAGGGCCCTCGGCCCTTCCTTCTTTATCCCACAAATGTTCTTCCAGCAGCTGCTGCACGCCGACACTGGAGCCAGATCACCCGCTGCCCCCGTGGCACTCACTGTCTGGAGGAGCTCAGGCTCTGGGCGTTCCTTGGCCTGACCTTTGCCTCCCTCCCATTTCCTGCAGTGGCCAGGGGCGGGGCAGCTGGCAGCTCCACTCCTTGGGCGTGTCTCCACTGCCAGGGCTGGGCGCTCCTGGGGGCGAGTGCTGGCCACTCGGGATAAACCCAGAGAGTCCAAGCTGTCCCCAAGGCCTCTCGTTGAGCTGCATTCAGGGGCTGGCCAGAGGGTGCCAAGCCCCCCAGGCTGGGGGAGCTCTGAGGCCCGCAAGCCACTCAGCACTGCAACCCCCAGGGTCTCACACCTGGGAGGAAAGGGGTGGACACTGGAAGAGGCGGGTGGGGAGGCGACAGAATGGGGTTCCAGCAGGGCACCCCTGCCTCTGGTTTTGACTGGGAATTGGGTGATGCAGGGTGGCCTGGCAGGAAAGACCTGCCTGGGGGCAGAGGCCAAGGTGGGCAGGGTGGTGCTGGCCCCCACTGAGCAGCCTGGTGCCTGACAGTGGTACCCAGGGAGGGAGGTCCCTTCTCACCAGACACAAAGGGCCATCTCCATGCCAGGGCATCTCCTTCAGAGAGCCGCAGCCCCTGAGGAGCAGAACTAGAGGAAAAGTCCTTACCAGGGGAGCAACCAAAGTCACAGGTCACTTCTTCAGACACAACGCCCTTATTTTTCCATCTCCTACCCACCCAGGGGTCCCAGGCATGGGGGACGTGGGCCACCTTTTATTGGGTGAAGCACTGTGCTGGGCATGCTCTTCACACGTCTCTAATCCTCTAAAGGACTTCTGATGTAGGTATCGAGTCTCTGTTTTACAAGTGGAGAGACTGAAGCTCAGAGAGAGGAGGTAACTTGCCCAGGGTCACACATAATAGCAGAGCCTGGGGTTCAAGACTAGTTCCTCAGGGCTCCGGAGCCTTTCTCTACCTCTGCTCTCACTGGCAGTGGGACCATAGACTGTGGGAGCCAGACTGGAAGACTAAGGCCAGGAAGGGGGAAGTCAGACAGTGCAAGAGTGGGAAGGGGGCAGTTGCTGAGTTGCCTAGGCACTGTGCCAGAACCCCCCTGGGCAGTTGGCCCCAAGCCCAGGGCTCCGAGCTGCAGCAGGACCGGCTGAGCCAGAGGCAGGACAGGGGCACAGCACTTTGCTCCAAGGCCAGAGGGAGGACAGGAGGACAAGAGGGGCAGGAAGAGGTGTCTTGGCTGATTGTCACCGCCCCGCCCCCAATCTCCCTCCAGTCCCAGGTGACCCTTCCCCTAGATCCCAGGGTCCAGGCCCGCCCCTGCTGCGAGGTGTGAGAAACAGAGGCAGCTGGGATTGGTCGGAGCCAGTGGGGGCGTGTCCCGGGCTCCGACCGCCCCAGCGCTAAGGAGAGCAGGTGGACTCCCGAGATAGACAAGGGGCCGCCCGGCAGCCACCGGCCTGTCCAACCCGGAATTCTGCCCTCCAGACATGGCCCCAGGCCCCCTCGATCCCCAGCCCTGTGGCCCTGCGGGAGTGCAGACAGCCTAGGCACCGCCACCCCAAAGCCCGTGCCCATGTCCCTGACTCGGGCACAGCTGGCCCCTGGCACGGAGGCCATGGAGACGGTGGCCCCAGCTGTGGACCTGGTGCTGGGCGCTTCAGCCTGTTGCCTAGCCTGTGTCTTCACCAACCCTCTGGAGGTGGTGAAGACACGGCTGCAGCTGCAGGGGGAGCTGCAGGCCCGGGGCACCTACCCACGGCCCTACCGGGGCTTTGTGGCCTCCGTAGCCGCTGTGGTCCGTGCAGATGGGCTGTGCGGCCTGCAGAAGGGGCTGGCTGCTGGCCTCCTCTACCAGGGCCTCATGAACGGCGTCCGCTTCTACTTCTACAGCCTGGCGTGCCAGGCTGGCCTCACCCAGCAGCCAGGTGGCACCGTGGTCGCAGGTGCTGTGGCTGGGGCACTAGGAGCCTTCGTGGGGAGCCCTGCATACCTGGTGAGTGCCTCGTCTCCCTCCTCCACCACCCTGTGATCCAACTCCCTCCAGGCCTCCGCCGCAGCTTCCCAGGCTGGCCACCGTGGACGGTGGACCGGGTGGGGTAGGGCAGACTGGGCGGAGCTGCTCTCTGGTACATCCCGGCCCAGGCCTGGAATCCTCCCCTTGGCCCAGGGCACCAGAGCCTTGCCCTGATCCTCATTCTTCTGGGGCCCCCACTCCACTGGTCCTGAGCCAGGGGAGGCGGAAGAGGGTGGCTGTGCTGGCTCAAACCCAGCGTGGTGACTTGTCTTCCTGTGTGGCCTGTGCAAGCTAAGAATAAAAGCTTCTATTGAGCAAGGGCCCCCACACATCCTAGGTGAAGGACCCCCATATCCTAGGCTGGATGCTGTATCTCAGTCCTCAGAACAGCTTTTCAGGGGTGAGCAGATAGGCCCAGAAAAGGTTAAGTAACTTGCCCCAGGTCACACGGAGATGCAGACCCAGGCTGACTGCGGGGCCTCACCTCTAGCTCTATTCCACACACTTGCTAATCTGCAGGTATGGGCTCATGGAGGCATGGGTGTCGTGCACAGGGAGGGACGCCCTCAGGGAGGGATACCCACAGCTCATCTAGGCTCTCCGAAGCCTCCATCCCCAGGCCCTCTGTCACCTCTGCTCTCACAGGTCAAAACACAGCTGCAGGCCCAGACGGTGGCCGCGATGGCCGTGGGACACCAGCACCATCACCAGGTGGGGACCGTCACTCCCCAGCGCTCCCTGGGCTGGGTGGGCTGGACGGGTTCCTGGGCTGGGCGGGCTGGATGGGCTCCTGGGCTGGGCGGGGGCGGCCCAGTGACCCCATGCCCTCTCCCTGCAGAGCGTCCTGGGTGCCTTGGAGACCATCTGGAGGCAGCAGGGCCTGGCAGGGCTGTGGCGAGGCGTGGGTGGGGCCGTGCCCCGAGTCACAGTTGGCTCGGCTGCCCAGCTGGCCACCTTTGCCTCTGCCAAGGCCTGGGTGCAGGAGCGACAGGTGAGGGGCTGGGAACACTTGCACCTACCCACACAGACACACAGGAGTGAGGAAGGCCACCTGCCTCCTTTCTCCCTATCTGTCTGGGCCCACATCACACCCCCACATCTCCAGCTGGACCTCCACACAGGGAAGCCCAGGGCCTGGTGACAGATGTGGCCCCGTAAGAAAGCTGGAGGGGGCCCTGGCTCTGTCCTTGGGGTCATGACCCTGACCCTTGGGCCCAGCAGGAATGAGAGTCAGCAGTGAACCCTGAAGCTGTGAAGGAACTCGGGGTGGTGGGGTGGGGAATGGCTGGAGGGGCTTTTCCAGCCCCCAGGTGCTGGGAGGGTGGGTGGAGCGCAGCTCCAGGGGTCGGCAGCCTGTACTATCCCCACAGTGGCTCCCAGAGGACAGCTGGCTGGTGGCCCTGGCCGGAGGCATGATCAGCAGCATAGCCGTGGTTGCAGTCATGACCCCCTTCGACGTGGTCAGCACACGGCTGTACAATCAGCCCGTGGACGGAGCTGGCAGGGTGAGCCGGGGACGGAGTAGGGAGCGTGTGGGGAGCTGGAGAGCACCCCCCAATACACACACACAGCCAGAGACACACAGACACGTGACATACATGTAAACACGTTAATTCAGCTTGTGTGCCCAGCACCCATGTCCCAGGCACGTGCTAAGTACTTTCACAACTGGATTTTAGTCCATCCTCACAACGACCTTCATTTTCCTGATGAGGAAACTAAGGCTCAGCAAGATCAAGTGACTTGCCTGAGGTTACCCAGCTGGTAAACTGGAGGAGCTTGACCGCACGGCCTCACAGACGCACACGGGCCATCAGAGTGGCTGGTGCAGCTTGTGCCCACCACACAGGTGCCCTCCACAGGGTGAGTTAGGGACGCAGTCCCTGTGTGCCACTAGCCAAGCTGAGCCCCCTGGCATGGGCTGTGGCTTCCTGGTAGACCCCTTTTAACATTTTGCAGCCTAAGGGGCCACCTTTTTGTGATTTGCCCGGCTTGTGGGGAATGCCTTTTCTGACGTGCCCACAGAAGCCCTGTCCACACAGACACACCTGGTTGTGCCAGCCGGGGCCCCGCAGCCCCTGTAGCGACGTCTGCCCTGTGTCTGTCCCCAGGGCCAGCTGTATGGGGGCCTCACCGACTGCCTGGTGAAGATCTGGCGGCAGGAGGGCCCCTTGGCGCTCTACAAGGGTCTGGGCCCCGCCTACCTGCGCCTGGGCCCCCACACCATCCTCAGCATGCTCTTCTGGGATGAGCTCCGGAAACTGGCCAGGCGGGGCCAGCACCAGGGCACCTAGACGGGGTCCCTCACCCCTACATCCTGACACAGCCCAGCACTGGGCAGGAAGCGATGACCCGCTCCAGCTGGGAATGGCTGTCCCAGAGCCCTGCCACAGGTCTGAGGCGAGTGTGGGCAGCTGTGGTCAACCCAGCCCCGTGGCCCACCCAGGGCCAGAGCATCTGTCCAGAATTACCCTCCACTCTGTTCTCCAGAAAGTTCTCTTCCCTCTCTGTAGTGGGTTACCTTACCCCAGAGCCTTACTAATTGTTGTAATAACTGCTCCGCGGCATGAGCGTCTCCACGAGCTGGGTCACCTGCGTGCGTCAGCCCGCTTAGCCCTCAGCCAACAGTCTGAGACGGTAAAATCCTCTTTTACTGATGAGAAAGCTCAGGCTCAGAAAGGTGCAGTGCTTTGACCAAAGCCGTACCTGTGCCCTTGGCAAGGGCCAGGACTCGGGGGGCTGGCATGCCCCTGAGGGATCCCTGTACACGCGGGGAGGCCCTGGGGTGCGCCATGAGGCCATAGTGTCATCATCTGCGTTAGTCTGCTAGGGCCGCCGTAACCAAGTACCTCAGACTAGGCAGCTTGAACAACAGCAAGTTATTTTCTCACAATTCTGGAGGCTAGATGTCTGAGATCAAGGCGTCAGCAGGGCTGCTGTCCTCTGGGCCCTCTCTCCTTGGCTTGTGGACGGCCGTCTCCTCCCACGTCTTCACATGGTCTTCCCTCTGTGTGCGTCTGTGTCCTAATCCCCTCTTCTTATAAGGACACCAGTCATGTTGGATCAGGGTCCACCCTAACGACCTCATGTTAACTTAATTACCTCTTTAGAGACCTTATCTCCAAATACAGCCACATTCTGAGATACTGGGGTTAGGACTTCAATATATGAATTGGGGGAGACACAATTCAGCCCATAACATCAGCTAAGGGCTTTTACTGAGGTCCTAGGAGGTGCCAGCACTGTGGGCTTTTGCACAGATCCTCATGACAATTCTGGAAGAGAGCTCTTGAGATGCCCATTGTCCAGATGAGGAAGTGAGGCCCAGGGCAGGCAAGTGACTTGTCCAAGGTGAGGAGCAGAGCTAGGTGTCCTCATCCTGGGCCCTTCACCTCAGCTGCAGCCATGCACCCCCCATGGGTGTGTTCCCAAGGCCTGCACTGACCTTTGTGCTACAGAGGTGGACACCGAGTCCCTGGAAGGGGCAGGCCTGGCCCAGGTCAAGCGGCCTGAACTACCTTCTCTGCACAACCCGTGTCTGCGAAGAGCTTCTCCCCAGGGGCATCCCTACCACACACTCCAAACAAATAAAGTTTTCTATTTTCTTTACTCCAACGACTCCTCTCTGCCGCAGCCTCAGTCTCCCCACCCCTGGATCCCGACCCTTGGCTTTCTCTCCTGAGTCTGGGAAAGGAGGATCCAAAAGAATCGGGCCGGTGAGCCCCACCCCATCCCGCCCAGGTGAAGCCTGCCACCTAGTGGACACAGGGAGGATGGTCAGGGCTGGCTGCCCTGCGGCTGGGGAGGGGAGGGCCCAGAGCTGGATCCCAACCTCGGGCTGTAGGGGCTAGACCCCCTTCCAGACTTCGGGCTGAGAGAGCAGAGCCTGACCTCAGGCTGTGGGGGATAGACCCCCTCCAGACCCCGGGCTGGGGTGCAGAGCCCACACTGGAGGCTGAGAGGGCAGAGCCGGGACCTAAGGCTAGGGGACACAGACGACAGGCCTGGGGCTTCAGGAAGGCACGTGTGGCAAACCTTAGGAGAGGGTGAGAAAAGTGGGCTCCAGACTTGAGCAGGGCCAGAAACCAGAGGCCAGCCTCAGAGATGCCCCTTCACCCCATGCTGCCCAAACAGGGAGCACCTGGGCAGCAATTGGCTCCCAATGCCCCCTAACCCTGCAGTGGGAAGGTTTAAGGCCCCTGGCTCTCCTCCCCTCCTCGCCCCTCCCTCCCCTGGGCTTTGACCCCTCTCAGCCCCTCCCCTTGCCTCCACTGACACCTTTGCCCCGGTGACGGTGACGTTGGTCCCTCTGGTGCAGATCTGACCAGAGGCTGGGACTGGATCCCGGCGGCCATGTTCTCCCTGCCGTCCCTCTCCTCCTGGCTCCCCGGCCTCCCCTCCCTCGAGTGGGGCTCCGGCCTCCTCGACTCCTTCCTGCAAGGTGAGCACCTCCTCCCCACTCCCGCTCAGCCCCGCCCTCCAGGACCCGCTGTGGGCAGTGCAGGGTGGACCCCACCCACGTGGGCGTCCCACTGCCCTGGCTGCCCCGTCCTCTAACCCTACAGAGCATGCCCGCCCTCCCTCCCGCCCCCCTCAGGCCTCATCGGGGCCTGCGGAGTCTCAGTCCTGAACAGCCTCCTGAAGGTCTACTTCTTCGTGGGCTGTGCCAAGTGAGTGCTCCTCACTCCCCGGCTCCTGGGCCCTGCGCTGCAACTCTGACCTCTGGGGGTAGGATCTGGGGAGAAGAGACCACCCCTCCCCTCACAGAGTGTCGCTGGGGCACCCGGACCCCCTCCAGGGCTGAGGCTGGTGGTTCTGCCCCTCCACCCACGCCCCCTCTGCCCCCACAGCATCCCGGAGCGGCAGCCAGAAAAGGAGCGGTTGCGGGCCCAGTGGGCCTTGCTGCAGACTGTGCACCTGGCAGGGCTGGCCCTGATCCTGACTGTCGTGGGGGCCCGGGTGGCCGCCCTGGTGGTGCTTGAGTTCTCCCTCCGGGCTGTCTCCACGCTGCTCTCCCTGGACAAGGTGAGGCGGCAGGGAGGTGGTGGGGGACGCACTGCAGGCGCCGGGCCCTAGATTTCACCCTGGAAGACGGCAAGCTGGGCCCCTGGAGCATCCCCAGTCTCCTCACCGCCCCCTTCCTGTAAGATTGGGACTACAGAGTAAAGCACGGTCTCCACTCAGAGTGGACGCAACCCCCGTCCAAGAAGTTAATAGTGGCAGCCCCCAGATATGGAGCGCTCCCCCCGGGACAGGCACCGGGCTAGGTACCCGGAGTGCATCATGTCACTCATCCTCACAACCATAGGGATAGAGGTTTGCTGTGATCCCCATTTCACAGATTGGGAAACTAAGGCTCAGAGAGGGTAAGTGGCTTGTCCGTGGTCAACAACCAGCAAGAAGTAGAGTCAGGCTCTGAACCCAGGTCTTCAAGGCTCTGAGCCACCCCCCTTCAGCAAGCAGATGGGTCCCAAGTAATAATCATGATTGAAATTAAGCTGAAAGAAATGATCCCATTAGGGCTTAACCTGAAAGCAATACTCCCTCTTTGGGAACAATCCCTAAGGTTCCTTCAGGCTCCAGCATCCTACAGAGTGGAGCATCGGTACTTTGACAACTCTCTTGGTCCCCACGGCGAGGGGAGGCCAGAGCCCCCATCAAGGCCCCTCTTCTGCCACCTCCCCCGCCAGGGCTCCCAGGTCACCAAAAGGCTGCAGCTGTACCTGCTGTGCCAGTACTCGCTGGGCTGTGGGCTGACCTGTGGCCTGAGCTTCCTGCAGGAGGGCGCCCCTCACCGCACGCTGAACCTGCTACTGGGCCTTGGCCTGGCCGCACTGCTTAGCACGGGTGCCCGGCGCCTCCACCGCCACGTCTGCCGCCTCTACGATCAGCACAGCAGCCAGCACTACTGTGGGGTCTGCCTGAGCCTGCTGGCCGGCGCTCACGGCCTCCCCCCGCTGCTGGGCCGAGCCCTGGCCGTGGCCTTTGCTGTGGGCGACCTGGCGGCCGTGGCCCTCATCAACAGGGACTTCCTGACCACCTCGGAGGCCGTGCGCTTCTGGACGCCGCTCACCATCTGCTACACCCTCCTGGTCATCTACATGCAGGGTAAGGGCCACAGTGGAGTCCCGGCGGCAGTTCACTCACTCGGCCTTCACATCCCACGGTCTGACCCGGGCCCAGCACTGTGCTAGGCCCCGGGGAGGCTGACAGCAGTCAGACTGCACCCCTGCCGGCCCTGAGCACCCAGCCTGGTGGCAGAGGCCATACAGTGGGGCAGCTCAGAGAAGGGTGCGGCATGCAGTGGAAGTCCTGAGGAAGGAGTGCTTGACTTGGACCTTGAAGGATAAGCAGGAGCCCCCTGAGAGAGGTGAGGGCAGAAAGGAGATCCTGGCAGGGGGAACCATATATGCTGAAGCCCAGAGGTGAGAGAGAGAGCATGGCAGCATCAAACAACTGAAAAATGTTGAGTGCAGCTGTCACCCCCAGGGCCTAGGGAGGGGATGAGGCTGGCCAGGTTCATAGGGGCCTGATGGAGAGCCCTCATCAGCTAGGCTGGGCAGTCTGATGAGAAGCCATTGCAGTGTTTTAAGCAGGGGGGTGTGACCTGGTCAGCTCTGGGCTCTAAGAAGAGCCACCTGGCTGCAGAGTGGGATGAGGTGGAAGTAGCAGGACAAGGAAGGGCAGTCAGGCAGAAAGCAACAGGTGCAAAGGCCCTGAGGTGGGAATGAGCTCGGCTTGCTCCATGAACAACAAGAACACCAGGATATCTGGGGGTAGCGAGCCAGAGGGAACAAGTCAGAGGTGAGATGAGGCTGGAGAACAGACTCCAGTCAGATCGGGCATGACCTCACAGGCAAGGTAAGGTGTTTGGAGTTTATTCCCAATATGGTGGGAAGTCCTGGGAGGGTTGTAAGCAGAGGAATGATTTCATCTCGGCGATGTGTTTAGAACGTCACTAGCTACTGAGTAGACACCGAGTTGTAGGGTCAAGAACAGAAGCCAGGAGCCCACTGAGAAGGCTGATGCGAGAGATGAACGTGGCTGGACCAGGGTGGGGCGATGGGAGTGGCGATGTGCTCAGGTGGGGATCTACGAGGCGAAAAGAGTGCACAGGGCTTCTGATAGATCAGATGGGGGAGTGCAGGAAAGAGAGGAGGCAGAACTCCCGCAACTTGAGGCTGGCGTGCTGGGGTAGATCTCTGTAGGTGCTCAGACAGTGGGGTGAGGGCAGGGGGGGTGGGGCCGAAAGGGGAGGGGAAGGCTCGCACTGAGGAAGGAGGGTGGGGAGCTGGACCTCAGGTTGGGGCCCAGATGGGGCAGGCAGGTGTGACCGGCGCCCTGCCCCCTGCAGAGGAGCAGCGGGAGCGCCCTGGCCTGCAGAGCCTGGTCCAGACGGTGCTGGTGCGCATGGGCGGCCTCTTCGTGCTGCTGCTGACTGTGGGCCGCTGGCTGGACCTCCTGGGCATCCTCATCTCCCTGCTGGGCGAGCTCTGGTGCCTGGTGGGCGTCCGCACCATGCTTGACCTTTGCCAGATACAGGTGGGCACCCTCACCCCAGGTGT